GATACATAAGATCCCATAATTCTAGTAATCTGTTATTACTTTCTAGTTATCTTCTAGATCTAACCGACTTGTAACCCTACCCCCAGACTATATAAGGCGAGCAGGGACCCCCTCAAAATACACGCAATATCATACGATAGACAATACAATCCAACAGACCACAGGAGTAGGGTATTACGTTGTGTTGACAGCCCGAACCTGTCTAACTCTTGTGTCTCTATTGCCTTCTTATTCTCGATTACACACATCTCTATCGATCAATCTACCTTCGTGGGATACCTCTCGGAGGACTGCCGATGATATTCTGTCGATAGGCGTGGATGAGGAAGCCTGCCCCGCCATCACACCTGCTGAGGGTGCACTAGGCACGGCCTCCTCCGTCTGTCCCGCCACGGGTGCCACCATCTGCTCGGACGACAGCCCCGGTTGCCCCGTCACCAACGCGCCTGCCAGCGTGGACGACGGCTTTAGCCACGTCGTCTCCACCTATGGCTGCGCCCGATGGTGTCGCGCCTGCCACGGGCGCCCCAAACATGCTTTCTGACGCCTGCCCTCCCATAGACATGGCCCACGGCTCCACCTACGTGGTCGACCTCGTGGTCAACCCGGCCACGCTCTCGCCAACCTCCGGCGTGATGCCAGACGGGTCCCGGTGCACCCACTAAAGGGCGAGAGTCTTCTTCGGCGCTAGCTTCAGGAGGGTCCCATGCCTCCCAACGCTGCAGAAGGCACGACGGTTAGTTCATGGTGAAAAATTCATCAAAAAACAAAAGAACGAAAAAACTCTCAGCTTACCTTGACGCCATCGGGCGCTGACGTTTCGGGGCCAGCCCGCCTGACCCCGGCTGTGACTCCTCGTTGAACTGCCGTTTCGAGCCCTCCCTTTGCTTATGAGGCTCAAACAAGGCACAACCACTGGCTCTGCTTGGCTCCGGGGGCGCCATAGATGGCCCGGGTGGAGCGGGGCAACTCGCTCCCGCCGTCTCCGGGGTGAGTCCTCCCCCTCTTGCTCTAGGAGATGCCACAGGAAGGGTCCCGCCTATGGCGAAGGTGGGTCCTCATCCCCACCGGCCAGATCGTCACACAGGATGGCCGACCCAGTGCCGTCGCCCCCTCCTCCTCTTCTTCTTACTCCTCATCTTCCTCCTTCGACGAGCCTTGGTGTTGTTTCCTCTGCTGCAGCTTCGCTCGCTCCCTCGCCCGCCGTTTCTTCTCCTTATCGTCCTTCTCCTTCTTCATCCACTCATTTGCGGCATGGTTCGCCGCCCTCACGGTCGCATGCTCTAGCAGCGACGCGACAGAGGCCCAAAAGCCTAAATCCGCTGGCAGCTCAATGAAGCCCGGCTCTGGCAGCATCACGGGATGTCTCGGGATCGGGAACACGGTGTCAGACTTGTCTATCGCCTCCTTGACACGCCGTGCAATCTCACTGTTGCGAAGCAGCCTCGGAGTGAGCACCGTCCCGCCAAGTTCCACGATGGGCACCATCCCGAACAACAGGAGGGCGCGCGCCATCAGTTGCGCCACCCTCCTCATGTGATATGCTCCAATGACGCCAGCCCCGTGAAGGCTGCGGCTCCTTAGCAACACGACAGCCTCAAGGATGTCATGCATCCTCCTCTTCTCCTTGTCGGGTGGCCCCCACGTCCACGTCGGCGACGCCTCCTCGATCAAGCGCCTGGTGAAGTCTAGGAAGGGGGTGGTAGAGTCGTTCTTCAAGTAGAACCAATGCGCGTGCCACCCCTTGTTGGATCTGGACAACTGGCAGGGCATGTACTCGGCCACCCGTTGTCCTCGAAGGTGGATACCCGCGTATCCCATCGGCATCGGGATCTCCCCGCCTCTGTCCTTCTTCCTATGCAGGGAGATGGCAAAGAAGTACCTCCACAACTCAAAGTGCACCTCCCCATGGCCGGGAACCAACCACTCCATCGCGTTAGTCCTCCCGCGAAGAAGACCATGCTTGATGAGGCCTTCCATGTGTGTGTGCGTGACATTGGAGCGGTACCATGACTCCATGGAAAGTGAAGACGGAGGAGCGAGGACTCTTTGGCACTGGTAGAGAAGTGAAAGCTACGGATCTAGGACACTGGCGGTGGACTAGCAGAGGTAGCAGATCCAAATGCTGGCGGTGGAAAGGCGGGGAAGGTGAGATTGCAGTTTGGCACACCAAAACATGGAGGATGAGCCCGCTATTTATAAGGCAGGGTGAGATGGGAGGCGAACCGTCTGCCTCGATCGACGTGTTCGGCATGCCCCGTGACTACGCCCCTCTAGGAATCGTGCACACGCCACCCCTGGCCGCTCCTCGAATGACGCGTCGATCAGCGGTTCGCCCCCTAGATGGGCTTAAAACCACCACAGGTAAGTAGGGATACGGAGCTAAAAACGCTCCCACGACCCATTAAGGCCTAGGAGTTTGAAGGTTGGCCCACTGACAGGTTTACAACCGCTCCAAGGCACCTTTGGAGTAAGGGGTGGAATGGGATGGGCCCGCTAGTGGCCAGTACCTGGGCGCATGAGCACCGCGGGCCTTTCGGACCACGTTTGAGTCTTGACAGAGCACGGTCCATGGTTTTTTCTTGAAGAAAGGCAACGAGCCCTCGAGACCGATCGAATGGACCTGAGAACTATATGGACTGGGGTCAGGAACCTAGAGTCGGTCACTAGCTGACCCATGTTGGACCCCCACGAAATGGGAAGTCGGGGCCCCACTTGAACTTGCCCGTTAACAACTCACTGAGCACCATAGTTCTCCCATCGAGGAAAACATGGCACGACTCAACCCCTCTGTTTTATCAAAAAACACTTGAGGGAGGACGACCTTAAGATGAGCTGACCCCTTGACCGGACCCTTGCTGCGCACGGGGGCTCGAGGGTTGGACTCGCAAGGAGACCGAATACGCGGTCGCAAAACAATGGTGGATCGGTCGGACCCTAGGGAGGAATCAGAATCAAAAGAGATCTTCTCTAATCTCCCAAATCGTGCAGCTACATGCTCCCGAGGAGTCCAAACACAACGGAAAGGAATCTCGACCATACCAAGACATCCAACGGCCCGCAAAGGGACATCAAGATCCCCAGAATCCTTCCGAAAAAGCCTTCGAAGGAGTATCCTACTGCTCCACAGGCTTGGAGGCTACTGTCAGGTATCAGTATCAGGAATACCCGGAAGAAGGAAGCTAATGGCCACGAACGCTAACACCCTCGAATGGTCAAGAGCATATCTTGGTATCGCCCGGCCCCGAGGGCACGGGCTCCGTCTTGCCCGACCTCAAGGATACGGGACCCGAGTCACCCGACCCCAAGGGCGTGGGCTCCATCTCACCCAACCCCTCGGGCGAGAGCCCCGTCACACCCGACGCCTCGGGCGAGATCCCCATCATGTCCGACCCCGAGGGCACGGACTCTGCCTCGCCTGATCCTGAGAGCGTGGGCTCCCCCTCGCCCGACAGAGGTCCGTACCGCCCCAACCACTATGGGTCTAAAAGTATGAGTCTAGGGTCAAACTTCTGACGCCAGAAAGGGAGCAGGCGCATCTTGACGTGACCCGCGACCACAACGGGCCATGTCTGAGGACGCACGTCGCCAACAACATTGGGCGTGCCAACGTTGTGCTACCTACTCCCCGTACGGCCTCCAGCAGAGGCGTCAGCGAACCATACCATCCGCTGGGACGACATGGAGCGCCACGACCGGCCGACGATGCCAGCGTACGGCGCCAGTGACGAACAGGGCTGCAACGAGGAGCCGTCCCCATCGTCATCTACTAGGCCGGCGGGACCCGCATAAAGGAGATAGAAGACATTGCAATCCCGGCAGTCTTCCTCTCCTCTCTCTCTCTCTCTCTCTCTCCGATGTAACATGCATCTTCCCCTTCATCTATAAAAGGGGGAAGCAGGGCACCCCACGAGGGGGGGGGAGTCTAAGACACATCTAACACGTCTGAGCGGCGGAGGCTTAGGCGCTCGGCAGTTGACAGAGGGCTCAACCAGACTCACTCTTTTCACCAAAGACTTGGAACCTTCTCCCTCTCTCGCCTGTTTGTAACCCTACTACAAACCAAGTGCTGGTAACACGAGCAGCAGTAGACTGGACGTAGGGATGTTCCGTCCAAACTAGTATAAATCCTTGTGTCCTTCGAGCACAACCATCTGGGTCAAACGCGCAAACTAGAAATTTACTAGTCGGTGATTCGAAACACCGACAATATGCCTTTCTAAACCTATCAACAGAGAAGTATTCATGGACAAATTCATCCATATGTACCTATCACTTATCTTTGCAATCTATTCACAAAGCATGGTCATTTTTCCACTTTTGTGGTGTTTTTCATCAAAGTTCATCAGTGCATGCCTAAATCTATTCAACAGAGAAGTTTTTGCCTATCAACAGAGGTAGATATTGTCTTTTTTTTGTGGCTCTCTCACTAGCATTTGTGGATGTAGCATTTGTGCCTTCCTCAATTAGGAGCACACCAGTCCTCACAGTAGCGTGAAATCTTCTCTTTGTTGGAGAAAATTGCAGTGGCCCCTCAAAATCATTTATTTGATCATTGATGCATACTAATCCATTGTCTACATTGATTAGAAACCACTCTAACATATTTTCATCAGATTTTATTTCCACATAATCATTCTCCAAATCACGCCACAAGGTAATGTACTGCTTAGAACCCCACAAGCAGTGCTCAGCAATGAAATCAACTAGTTGCAGCGGCCCAAAGCTATTTGTGTCCACAACCTTGATTGGCAGAGTTCTACCTTGCCACCATGTTTTTAGACCACTGTCCGGCAAGCTTAAAAACGAGCGCACTTTAACAACAAGTTCCAATTTACTATGATTTATCCTACAAACCACAACAGGCAATAAACGAGTTAACACATCTACTAATCGCTGCTACTTTCTACTGCATTGAAGCACACATCACAGAAATCGAAGAAAATACCTAGGCTCTTGAGAGGTTGCTGGCTCTTCCATGGTGGCGAGCCTTTGGCCGAATGGAGCTGTTGCTGTTGCAGGCACGAGCCTTGGGGCGGGGGACACGGCAGCGGGCAAGGCCCCCAGACGCGCCACCAAGGGCGCGAGCCGGGGGAGTGGCCGGGCGTACCCCGCTGCAGCCCGCGGCGCCCACAGCCGGTGGCCGCGCCGCCGGGGGAGCACGGGGAACAGAGGAGACGAGCCGGGGGTGGGAGGGGGCGGCAGATGGTGGAGAAGCCGCGCCGCCAGCCGCGTCGCTGGTAGCCACGCCGCCGCCTAGAATCGGCAAACCCTAGTGCCGCCGCCTGAAAGTCGCGAGCGCTCGCGACTCGCTTGGGCACGGGAAGGACTCGAGCGACCGAGTGAGAAAGAAGGATATGGAGCGAGGGGTATAATTGTGTTTTCACGTAGGTGCCTTTTCTTTTTTCTTTTTCTTTTTGCCATTTAATCTATCCATTTCAGACGGGGCTATATACCAGGGCCAAACGGGAGCTTCAGTTGAAAAAAATGAGGGTAAAATGACAAAGTTAAAAAAAAAAGAGGCAAAATCACCATTGGACTATGAAGTAGGGGCAGAAACACCAAAATCCAATTTAACAAATGCACTTCAGATACTAAAGAGCTCCAAGAACCTCACAACCCTTCTTATTGGAAACAATTTTATGCAAGAGACCATAACTGATGATGACGGGATTGATGGTTTTGAGAAACTTCAGGTTCTTTCCTTAAGTGAGTGCTCATTGTTGGGGAAAATACCTCATTGGTTATCAAAGCATGGAAATCTGGAGATGTTATTTTTACATAGAAATCAACTAACTGGAACAATACCAGACTGGATCAGCAGCTTAAACTTCCTATTTTATGTTGACATATCAAATAACAATCTGACTGGGGAAATTCCTACAGCGTTAACAATATGCCAATGCTGAAATCAGAGAAGACTGCTGCACATTTGGATCCGAGTCTTTGATCTACCAATTTATGTAGATACATCATTTCAATACCGTAAGGCCAATGCTTTCCAAAAGGTGCTCAACCTAGGAAACAATAACTTCATTGGTGTGATCCCTCCAGAGATTGGTCTCTTAAAAGAGCTCCTTTCACTTAATTTGAGCTTCAAGAAATTATATGGAGATATCCCCCAATTGATCTGCAACCTCACAAACTTGATGGTGCTTGACTTATCAAGCAATCATCGAACTGGCAGAATCCCAGCCGCACTGAACAATCTACACTTCCTTTCTAAATTCAATGTTTCTTTCAATGACCTAGAAGGGCCTGTGCCGACTACAGGCCAGCTTAGTACATTTACAAATTCCAGCTTTGGTGGCAACCCAAAGCTCTGTGGTCCTATGCTCATTCACCAGTGCAGTTCAGCTGGACCACCTTTGGTCTCTGAGAAACAGCATAGCAAGATAGCTATATTTGTACTTGTATTTAGTGTGGTTTTTGGAAGCCTCGCCATCCTGTTACTGCTAGCTTGTGTCCTAATATTGTTCCGGGGTCAAACTTTCAGCACCAATCATAGTGATATAGAAACGCTATCATTCAACTCCAACTCAGAGCATTCGTTGGTAATGATGCTGGGAAGCAGAGATGAAAACAAGCTCACATTCACCGACATTGTGAAGGCAACAAATAACTTTGGCAAGGAGAACATCATCGGGTGTGCAGGCAATGGATTAGTGTTCAAGGCCGAGCTACCTGATGGATCCAAGCTTGCAATTAAGAAGCTCAATGGTGAGATGTGCCTTATGGAAAGGGAGTTCACTACTGAGGTTGAAGCACTCTCAATGGCCCAGCATGAAAATCTTGTACCACTGGGGTTATTGCATTTACGGAAACTCCAGGTTCCTCATATATTCTTTCATGGAGAATGGCAGTCTGGATGATTGGCTTCACAACAGGGATGATGATGCTAGCACGTTTCTTGACTGGCCGACAAGGCTGAAGATTGCCCAAGGAGCATGCCGTGGCCTTTCCTACATTCATAATGTATGCAAGCCACACATTGTCCATCGTGACATAAAATCCAGCAACATCCTACTTGACAAAGAATTCAAAGCTTATGTTGCAGATTTTGGGCTGTCAAGACTGATCCTTCCAAATAAAACTCATGTTACAACCGAGTTGGTTGGCACTCTTGGTTACATTCCCCCTGAGTATGCGCATGGGTGGGTGGCTACTCTGAGAGGTGATATATACAGTTTTGGAGTTGTCCTGCTTGAGCTGCTCACAGGAATACGGCCTGTTCAGGTACTGTCCACATCAAAAGAACTTGTCTCATGGGTGATGGAGATAAGGTCTCAGGGAAAGCAGATTGAGGTATTGGATGCAACACTCCACGGCACAGGACATGAAGAGCAAATGTTGAAGATGCTTGAAGTTGCCTGTAAGTGTGTGAACCATGACCCTTTTATGAGGCCGCCTATAATGGAAGTAGTCTCATATCTGGAAAGCATTGATGCTGGCCTGCAGACACAAAAGTTGGTTGAGACTGAATGCAGCTAGAGTTACAAATGATAATACTGTATTTCAGTGTATAGAGTAGATGCATTTTTCAGTAGAGGTAGTAGTCTTAACTTTTAAGTTGTAGTAGTGTTATAATGCATGTGTACATTTTGTTGCAGAGTTTGAAAGTAAATTTTTAAAGAAAGATCCAGTCCCCACCCCCATTTTTGAGTTCCTTATTAGCTCAAGTACTGATACAGAGTCAAAGCAAGTGAAATTTTTTTTTGCCGTCTTCATCAAATACTGGTGTTATTGCATTTGGGTGCTGTAGTTCAGTTTTTTGGCTCTGATCCACAGAATTCAGAACTACTGGTGCTTAACATAGGATGTGGAATGAGTAAATGCCAACAATTCTTGGTTCAAGTATGAAATCTAATGGCCGTGCAGTATGATGGTTAGTTTTGAGACTAGAATAGAGCTGCGCAAGCTGACCAGAATGTGCCACAGTACACGCACTATCACTAAATGAATCTGGTCATGCATCTAGGCAATCCAAAGTTCAGTACCAAGTTACCAACCATGCAGGAGAAGTTTGACACAGCAGCATACGCGAGATGCGGTCACCATCCTCGGCATGTTTTCAACGGCCACCGTCTCCGTCCGAGGTTTGGAACCCAAGTGATGGGTCCCGCCGGGCGCCGGCGGCATTTCGTCGAACAGAATGAGCGCGACGCTTCCAAGACTGCGGTGCCGCGTTACACGCCCCAGGGGCTAGCATTGCGTCGAACAGTCGAAGACGCGCGCACGCGTATGAGCGCAGAACGCGAGGGCGCGGCGCGGCGCGGGGTTGGTGGTGGTCGACTGGTCGGAGAGGTAGGAGGGCTGGAGGGGCAGCATATAACAACTGTAATGTTTGCGGCCCGCCAACCTCACGATAATCAAACTATCAAAGCATGGGGGCATGGGTCCGACGGTGCTGGCGCTGCGCCTGAGCACGATTGGTAGAAGGCCAGCTGAGCGACGTGTGGGGATGGGGTCGTCGGCGGTCGCCGGTCGCCGATGGCAGGACAATCTCGTCCGTCACCATGCCGCCGCCCGCCGGCCAGGAGATTTAAAAGAATGGCCATTTTTTCTTTTTTTGCAAATAGCCTCCTCTCTTTTGCAAATATGTTAATTGTCAGTCAGCTCCTTAGACTCGAATCAACTGAATTCAGAAACTATTTTTTGAAGAAAGAACGATAAAAGTCCTTTTTTACCACTGAAATAAAAAGTAAATATTTTTTAAACTATAGAAGCCAAACAAATTTAGCCCTTTAACTAATTTCAAATCTTTATATGTATTTTTCTAAGTAACAATAAAAATATGGTTTAAAATTTACATATTCATAACTAATTTATTTTAAATAAAATACAAAAATGGTACTATTTTTTTTAAAAAATACTCTATCTATTCGACTTCTATTTTGAGTTAATTAATTGTATCTTATTTATTCATGTTTCTAGTGCTTTGCTAATTGTAATCGTGGTCATTATTTGTTTAAATTATTGTTTGTACTTTTTTTGTGAGACCCACGTACACGCTCATATACACGAGCGCACACTCACCCCCTATGAATGCACGCACGTACACCCTACCCCTATAAGCACCTCCGAAGAACTAGGTTGGACCGGTAAATCTCGAGATTGATGAAGTCACCGTAGGCGCCTCGCTATTGATGGGCACGTCGCCTGTCACTGAAAAAATAGCACCGTTAAATCCTGAAATAAATCCAGAAAAATGCGAGCACCCATGTCAAGTTGGGGACTTAAATCTGAATGAGCAGGTTCCACCACAAGGACCCAACCGCTAAGCTACGCGTCTTATGGTTTGTACTTTACAAATTACTCGTATTGTTTGTACTTTACATTATGTTGACCACATGATTAGTTGATTGCAAGATGCTTGACTCCCTATCTCGTTTAAAACCTATTACCTAGGCAAGTGATAAAAAATAAAGTAAAATGCTAACCATATAATCCCTCCATTCCAAATTATCGTTCACTTTCATTTTGTCTGAAGTCAAAACTTCTCTAATTTTGGCCCACTTTATATTAAATATATCAACATCTATAGTATCGAATTAGTTTCATCAAATTCTCCATTAAGTATGTCTTTATAATGATTTTATTTTTGGTTATAAATATTAATATATGTTTTCTAAAAACTTGATTAAAGATAAATAAATTTGACTTGGGACAAAATCAAAGTGAACTATAATTTATAGCAGGAGGAGTAATGCCTTAAAAGTTCTCTATGTGGTCAAGCATGGCACCTTTGCATCTGTGAGGATGGTATCACCTTCTAGAACTTTCATGTACTTGAAGTATGTTGGTTCCTTCTGGGTTCTCGTGGGCTAATATAGCACAAAACGATAATTTTCATAAATAATGGGTGGTATAGCAAACAACGAAACACCGGAAAGGGCGGGGGGGAGGTGTGATACAATCCAGATAATTGTTTGTAGAGCACCTATAGATTTTTTTTTGAAAAAAAGTACTAGTTTTGATTTTTTTTTTTCCTACTTTTTGAAATCAATTAGTGAATTTTCTATAGAATATTATAGATTTGTGTTACTTTTAGAAAATACATTAATAGAAAAATCGCATTTGAAACAACTTAAGTGCTAAATGTGTTCAGTTTTCATAATTTGATGGTCAAATATATCTTTTTTTTTTGCGAATTGGGCGTTACTTTATTGGTAGATTGCTTATGGGAATTTACTTATGGCGGACCTAGCTATCCATCTGAGTTGAGTCTTCGACCAGAGTGCTCAACTGCTCATATATATATTTTCTTGATTTATCTTAGAATTTAACGGTGCTATTATTTCAATTGTATACTATGTGTCCATTGACATTTAGATACATGTGGTGACTTCATCAGCCTTCTAGAGGTGTTTATAGGGGGGCAGAGTGTGTGCATTTATTCTTAAGAGTAAATATGCTCGTATATATGTGCCCATCTAATACAGACCCCGATGATAATTTTAATGGTAAAAGATGGACCTCTTCCTTCTTTTAAATGCCAAGAATGTCTTATTCAAAGTTTTATTTTTCTTCCTTAGAAATATATAAGGGCAGAAACTCGGCCGTCCAATCACGGATCGCGAAGGGGGGGAAAAAAGCGGATACAAGTCTTGTCCAAAGTACAAAAACATGATCTATCGGATTTCTGGTCCAAGTTAAATATGGACTTGGGAAAGCAACAGGACAACATCTGTTTGTCAATTGGGATAAAGCCGCACGGAATGCATACTGACCAGAATCTGAACCTTGAAATGCATTTTTTTTTTCACGAACCATATCACACGCTAGTGTAGTAGGCCATGGGTGATGTTCGCAAGCCATGCATACATGCAACGAGCACGGCATCCCACCGCAGCAACAACCAGCAGCGTACGGCGCAGGCTGCGTGCTTTATGGGGTGTTTGAATGCGTTAACTAAAATTTAGAATGTGTCACGTAAGAATGTCGCATAGGGTGTTCGGATACTAATAAAAAAACAAATTATAGAATCTCTCGGTACTTCACGAGATAAATTTATTAAGCCTAACTAATCCATCATTAGCATATGTTTACTGTAGCACTATGTTGCCAAATTATGGACTAGTTAGGCTTACAAAGATTCGTCTCGTAAATTAGTCACAAACTGTGCAATTAGTTTCGTAATTAGTCTATATTTAATACTCCATGCATGTGTTAAACATCTAATAGGGCAACGACTAAAGTTTAAGAGGAGAACAAACACCCCCCTTATTCTTGCTGCAATGTAAGTTCGTAGCCTCTCAAGTTCACACGGCTGCTCTGGTTTATATTGTTTCAATGTGCTCATAGAGACATGTATGTACGTCAGTGTAGTATATACATATATGTAAGCGTCCATATATGTATTGTACTTCATAAAAAAAGATATACAATATAGTTATTCACGTATGCATATATACATTGGTTCTTTGTTCAAGCACACACGTGGCAACGATGAAAAACTTTCGATGAGGAAGGGTTTTATTTATTTACCAAAAAAAGTTGATAGCCTCTCGTCGCCTGGTGGTTCGTCAGTCGCCATCGTCATGCTACGCAGGAGCAGGTGAGCTGGTTCAGCACCAGCAAGCAAGGAGAGAGAGAGAGAGTAGAAGAAAGGCCCGTTCGTTTCGCTGAAAAAATAAATTGAAACATGTTTCGACTGATTTGTTGTGAAAAGAAAAACACTGTTTCGACTGAAAAAACAAGCTAAAAAAGACGAATTATAAGATAAACGAACATGACCAAAGATTTAGGGGAGGAAGATGACGTGGCAACTGGCAAGCCTGGCCATTGTATAACCGTGTCCTGCTGCGGAGCTTTTAGAAATCCAAGTAATATTTATTATAAAAAAATATTTACCTAGCAAATTACAATGCTCTTCTTTAATACAAAGAAAATTTTCTTTTAAATTTCATCGACAAGCTCGGCCGAGCAGTGCCTTCGCTATTGACTGTGCCACATCATCAAAACCACCTGGACCTGATGCCACACACCTAAACCGGTTTTGGTTTTGAACAAAACGTGAAAAGCAATCTTTTGAAAAACGACAGAGTTAAGTAGACGATTTCATAGGACTTTTCTTGATAAGAGACGATTTCATAGTTGAGTGTTACTTGAACCGAGGGCGAACTTGAAGTTGAAGAGGGTAATTTGGACCTATTCCAATAGCATACCACCACCCAATAAAGGTCTGTTTGGTTCACCTAGTAGCTACTAAATTTAGTAGCTTTTAGTCTAAATTTAACCAAACGTATGACTAAAAAACTTTTTTTAGTCATCTCTAGTAACTTCTTTTAGTAATTTTCGGTTTGTTCCAAAATTCGCTATGACTAAAAAATTTCAAAACCGGTTTTTTTTAGTTCATCTCTAAAACCGAATAACTCGGACAAGATTTACAATTGACATTACAAACTTCGGTTTTTAGTTCGGTTTCTCGGTACTAAAGTGACTAAAACACATTTTTAAGTTTGGTTTTTAGTTTCTACTAAAGTTTTCTG